CCCCATCCACATCGACCGCAAGACCGAATCGCTTTGGCAGGAAGACGATGCTCTGTGTTTGGTAGGACCAGAAGGGTGTGGTTTATTATGAGCTGTTAAAGCCTGGTGAAACGGTTAATACCAAACGCTACCAACAACAATTGATCGATTTGAACCGTTCGCTATTCGAAAAACGACCAGAATATCGAAAAAGGCAACACAAGATTATTTTCCTCCATGACAATGCTCCATCACATACGGCAAAACCAGTTCGCGACACGTTGGAAGCACTCAGCTGGGAAGTGCTAGCCCATGCGGCTTACTCACCAGACTTGGCTCCTTCTGATTACCACTTGTTTGCATCAATGGGTCACGCACTTGCTGAGCAGCGCTTTGGTTCGTACGAAGATGTGAAAAAATGGCTCGATGAATAGTTCGCGGCAAAAAGGGAAGATTTTTACTGGTGTAGTATCCACAAATTACCCGAAAGATGGGAAAAATGTGTAACTAGCAATGGAGCATACTTTGAATAAACCACTTTTTATCATTCTTCCGGATTTAACGTTTTTTTTTTTGGAAAAAATCCGCATTTCATACTTGTACATCTGGTAACAGAAAAATGCTGTTCGCTACCGTTGTTTTTTTTGTTCGATGATCGCGCGCGAGAGAGATGTCGTTTCTTTCGCCATTGGCCGCGAGTACTAGTGATTCGCTTCCAACTTCTCGTTCGTTAGGGCACGTCCTCACAACATGTGGTTTGTCCGCCAGGAGGTGTCATGGTCGCTACAAGATGTCCGCTGGAGGTGTCATGGCCGCTACACTACTCCCCCCCGAGTAACTTGGATTATTAAGTTGCGAAAGTGATGCGTTTCTTAGGTCCGGCGTATATCCTTACTGGTTGTGAAGACGTTGTGAGGGTAGAGTTGGATTCTGCGATGTCTGTGTTCGCCTTTTGCGCTGGGTCGTTTGATTCGGTAGCAAACGTTTCGCAAAATGCTGGTTTAAGTCTTTCGGTAGAGATGCTTGTAGGTTGGCCTTTTACACCATGAATACATAGGTTGCGTTTCGTTTCACGCATGATGTGCATAATGCATCATTTATCCTTGTTTAACATTCGGTGAACAACAAAGATAAAAAATGCGCATCATGCGTGAAACGGAACGCAGCCAATAGTCTGACGGTCGGTCAAGTACCTTGTACAGGCCTTCGTAGGTTGTTCCAATGGCTTTCTGACAGCGTCGATTCGGACGAAGACGTGTGTACTCGTATATGAGTGTAGCGTCTTATGGATAAATGCTCTTTTCTTGGAATGATGCATTGTCGGTGAGGCTCTAATGTTCCTCATGTGCTCTTGGAACTTTTCTACAAATATTTGAGGATCCCTGGGTTGTTCTTCACCAAAGAAGAACTCACCTGATAATCGAAGAGTTTGGCCGTATATGAGTTCAGCTGCTGTTGCTTTTAATGTCTTCTTTGTAGCTAGTTCGAAGTCCGAGTAGAACCGTGGGTAAAACGTCCGTCCAATTGCTAGTGTTGTGACACATTATCGCTGTTTTTAGAGACCTGTGTCATCGCTCTATCATTCCATTTGAAACGGGGTGGTATGCCGTCGTGCGCGTTCTTTTGCTTCCGATGAGTTTGGTCAAAGCCTGGAATAATTGTGACTCAAACTGTGATCCTCTGTTTGTGATTATGACCGCCGGTTCTCTGAACCTTGCGACCCAATTTGTGTAGAATGCAGTGGTGACGGTGTCCGCACTGATATCCGGGATGGGCACCGCTTCCGGCCATCGAGTGAACCTGTCGATCATTGTTAAGCAGTATTGCATGTTTTTTTATGGTGGCAATGGTCCGATGATATCGATGTGTATCTGATGAAAACGAGTGGAATATCTATACGCTCTAGTGTGTTGCGGTTGTGCTTATGTATTTTGCTGCGTTGACAGTGAAGGCATGTTTTGGCCCATTCGGTAACGTCTTTGTTTAGGTTAGGCCATACGAAACTCTTGGAGATCAGCTTGCTTGTCGTCCTTCCACTAGGATGTACAAGGTTGTGAGTGGCGTTGAAAATGCGTCTCCGCAAACTGCTTGATACATAAGGACGAACATCGGTTCCGGAAGTGTCGCAATACACCACGTTGTCGGTGTTGTCGATTCGTAGTTTCTTCAACTGGAGTGAGGATGCCTTTGGTTTCAGCAATTCTTCTAGTTTCATATCGTTGGTCTGTGCTTGGGCGAGCTCTTCCGTCGTCGTAATTACAGGCATATCTATCGCTTCGATCCGTGATAACGCGTCCGCGACAGTGTTATCGGTTCCCGCTATGTGGATTATTCTTGTTGTGAACTGCCCAATGAAATCCAACTGGCGAAGCTGTCTCGGTGATGCCTTGCTGGATTTTTGATTGAAAGCGTAAACTAGTGCTTTATGGTCGGTCTTCACTATTACTTGTCATGCCTCTACCATGTGCCTCAAGAACTTTAAGCTGTTGTAGATAGCTAACAGCTCTCTATCGTAGGTGCTGTATTTGGTTTGAGTTTCGCTGAGTTTCTTCGAATAGAAACCGAGTGGTTCCCATTTTCCGTCGTGAAATTGTTCGAGTGCTGCTCCGATCGCCGTGTCTGAAGCATCCGTTTTTAGTGCTAATAACGCGTCTTCTGAAGGGTGTGCCAATAGCGATGCGTTCGTCAGTTGTCGCTTGCATTCATCGAAGGCTCGTTCAGTGTCTGGATTCCATTCGATGGGACGTCTATCTTTCTTTTTTGCTCCGAGGTATGCGTTGAGTGGTGCTAGAACCGAAGCTGCTCCTTTCATGAATCGTCTGTAGTAATTGACTCCGAGAAACCTGCGTAGTTCCGCGATGGTTTTGGGTACTCTAGGATCGCTTTGGCTCGATGTTCTAGAGGTTTAGTTTCTTCGGTGTTTACCGAATTACCCAGGTATTGAACTTCTTCTGCTCCGAAGATACACTTGGAGACGTTAATGAAGAGTCCGAATTCTCGTAAACATTCAAACACGATACGTAAGTTCTTTGTGGTGAATGTCGTCTTTTGAAGCGATGATTATGTCGTCAATGTAACAATAGCAAAAATCTAATCCTCATAGCACAGTATCCTTTGAAATGTTTGTGCGGCGTTGCACAGGCCGAACGGCATTACTATGAATTCGTGTAATCCAAAAGGTGTGATCATAGCTGTTTTTGGACGGTCTTCGGGTGCAACTGGGATTTGGTGGTATGCACGAGTAAGGTCCAGTGTTATAAAAACCTTGCAACCACGGAATTTGTGTGCGAATCCTAAATGTGCGGTATCGGGTATTTGTCTGGTACTGTATTTTTATTCAGTCGGCGGTAATCTCCGCACACTCTCCACTCACCTGATTTTTTTTGTGTGAGGTGTAGTGGGCTAGCGTATTGACTGCTGGACGGCTTGCAGATTTCTTGCTCCATCTATTGCTCGAATTCCGCTTTGGCTGCCTTGTATCTCTGGGGAGATAGATGCCTCGCAGGTTCAACTACCAGTGGACCATTAGTCACGTTGTGGTGATGTACGGAATGCTTTGGTTCCTTGATGCTAATTGGTTTGGTGATCTGGATGAATTCCTTGAGTAGCGTACGATACCGATTGTTGGATCCCACTGTTGAGACGGACGGTGTAGTCGTTTGTATCATCTTACCTATCGTTTGTAATTTCGTCGATTAACTTTCTACCTCGCAAATCAGGTAACAAATTAAAATGGCATAGGAAATCCGCGCCTAATATATGTGAGACGTCGGCTACGGTAAATGTCCAATTCAATCTTCTACGTAAGCCGAAATCTACGGTGACCAGCTTTGTCCCGTATGTGCGTATGGCTGTGCCATTTGCTGCGTATAACATTGAATCGGTAGGCTTTGGTTTACGTCCCGTTTTGGGAGAACTGAGATGTCTGCACCCGTGTCGACTAGAAATTGCGTGCCAGTCTTCTTATCTGCAATGAGTAGGCGGCTTCTTTGGTGTGCGCCGACCGCGACCGTCTTGATGCGCGATGATAACTCTAGTTTTCTATCGTCTCCGGTTTAGCTTTGGGCTTCTTGAACGTACATGGGGAGCGACAGTTCTTGGCTTGTTCGCCAAATCGATCGTGGTAATAACAAACATTAGCTTTCCATTCCTTTGAACGTCCTCGTTCGCGCAATTTCGATCGACTGCGCTGTGTGTTTCGTTTTACTTCCCGAGTCAGTGATTCAACTATCTTCTTCAACTTTTGAATATCGGTGCCTTCTTTGGAAGTTTTGTCGTGAGCTTTTGGGTTGTTGGCACTGACAACAGCGACCGTGTTACGTGTGACGTCTGCTATTCGGTCGGCTTGTAGAACAAGTTTTGAGAGATCGGCGAGTTCGCTAATAGTGAGTAAGCTTCGAACATTTTCTGGCATTTGTTCCAAGAATAACGTTCTCAGGACGGCTTTATTGCACTGTCCTGCGGCTAGGTTCCTTAAACGCTGCAAAAAATGCAAGGGTTTCTCGTCGCCTGGTTCGTGTCCACGCAGTAATCGTCTCAGCTTGGATTCGTTTGTTTCGTCGAATGACGAGATAATGCGCGTTTTTAAACTCTCGTACTTATTTTGCGCCGGTGGCGTAGCGAGGATGTCTGAAATGAAAGGTAAAATGGTTTGATCGAGGTTGACTATAATGTACTGAAATTTTGTCTCATTGGCGGTAATTCGCGAGAGTGCAAAAATTGCTTCGACTTGCGTAAACCACAGAAGTGGGTTGTCCTTCCAAAATGGCGGTAGCTTTATCACTTGCGTCAGGTTGACCTCATCCTGCGGGCTCCCGGTGTCATCATGATGTAAGAAAACATTATGCGCAATGGTACACCTTGTTTTCTTACATCATGGGTGTCATATCGTGCGGCCCCAACCGCTGCATCAATCGGGTTGATTCCTTGAGGCGTCGAACTGCCGGGAGTTCGGGTCGGCAAGCGGTCGGTCGGCATTTCGCGTCGAAATTTATGGTTAGTTCGTTTGGAGATTGTTCACTCACTTCGTTTCACAATGACTGCCGCGTTTTTGTGTCAAACCAGCGTTCTTCCTCGTCCGCTTTCGGATGATCACGTATGGGTCACCAATTTAACTGTAGCGTTCTACGTTATATTTATGCTAAGAGTATCCGGACGAGGAAAAAGGATCGCCACAGTTAAACACAAAAAGTAATCTTTATTCAAAGTTTCGAAGTAACAGAAAAATGCTGTTCGCTACCGTTGTTTTTTTGTTCGATGATCGCGCGCGAGAGAGATGTCGTTTCTTTCGCCATTAGCCGCGAGTATTCAACGACATATAGACGGAGGATGAGTTGCTATTTTGGGCAAGGGAGGGTGTGATAATCGGGGCAAGACGGGAGCCATCCCACCATAGCCTCCCTCTTTTGACGTCGGCTTATTTCGCCGAGACTCGCTAACATTCGACTACTTCGCCTCTTACATATTATATTTATCAACGGTTCTCATCTCATATCTGTTTTGGTCTGTTTACGGCATTTTACAGCAAAGTTACGTTTCTAAAAATGAGTTTTTGCATTGTTTTTAAATGCAAAAATAGAACTAGCAAAAAAATGAGGAACAGTTAGAGATGGAAAGAATTTTGAAACGAAAAATTGAGAACCACTGATTACTATATGATAGTCACGTGGGTAGTCACGTGAGAGCCGAACATACTCGAGTCACGACGAAACTAGTCAAAGTCAAAAGACACCCTCTCGCCGCGATTATCGCCTATCCCTCGTAGAAAGTCTTTGGCTACATTTACACTATGCATTTAGGCCGCGTCCTATACAATAGATGTCCTTGTTTATCCTGTAGTTTAAACAAGGACGTCTATTGTATAGGCCACGGCCTAAATGCACGGTGTAAACGTAGCCTATATGTCGTTGCGAGTACTAGTGATTCGCTTCCAACTTTTCGTTCGTTAGGGCACGTCCTCACAACATGGTTTGTCCGCCAGGAGGTGTCATGGTCGCTACAAGATGTCCGCTGGAGGTGTTATGGCCGCTAAAGAAGCTGCACCACAGCGCCACCCAGCGGGGCCGGGCAACGCCATAAACGCTCGACACAAGCGCCGTCGCTTGTCGCGCGCGCCGACATGCATGCACGCGGGAAGTCCAAACCGCGCAATTCGTAACACTGTACGACAGAATTTGAAAAATTTAATTAAATCACTTAGACTGTTTTTGCCGACGAATGCTCTCTCTCTCTCTCATTCTTTCTCTCTTGTGAGACATCGTCGCTTGCTTTCAACACCCATAAGGCTGCGTTCGGAAACTTCACCCGGGTGCACTCGGGTGAACTCACGCCCAAGAAGACTAGAACTAAGGAGGATCAACTTGTGCCAATAGCAGTAGTGGGGGTGAGGCAAAAAGTGGCGACGGATAACTTCCCCCACTCTTGGGCTTCATTAGTCCTCTCTGTCGCTCTATATAGTCGTCGCTCTGTCGTTCTATAATCGTCACTTTGTCGCTCTTATATCGAACTTTCACACAATGCGCAGTGCCGCTGCACATCGTGTGAATAGCTGCGGACGTTTTTTGACTCACCCCCACCACGCGAGTTGATCCTCCTTAGTTCTAGCCTTCTTGCTCACGCCGTTTGGAAACGTTCGGGTTGTACCGAGGTGACAGAGGTGAAACCGTTCGGAAACTCTACTGAGTAGCACCTCAGGGGGAAAATTTTCCACCTTGAAATTTCAAGGTGGATTCGAGTAGAGTCCTAGATATCAGAGAAGCGCAACCGGCTTAAGTCAGTATCGCAAAGTTACTAACCAGAGTATTAAAAATGGTCGACAT